TGTTGCGGGGTCTGTCCCAACATCCATCTAAGTATTTTAGAGGCTTCATAGACAGTCAGTCAGTTAGAATTGAGTCTCTCAGCTATGTATATATGTAAATAATCTATTTTGAGACTCGAGTTGCCTTTTTGGCCAGATATGTATCATTTAAGTGGTTTATGTCTTTGCATGGCATTGAGTTATTCTGTTGAGTAGGTTTCCGCTGAGTTAAGAAAGCCAGGCCAAGGGTTCGCTTGGGGCCAGCAATGGTCTCCGAGTGCCGGTCCCGCCCAGGGTGTAGGCTCGGGGCGTGACAAATATGATACCCGAGTAAGTAATACAATAATATTGATGAAAACTTGATAGTGTCAAAAGACTATTCCACTTTTATAAGAATAACACTCTTTTATTTTTTACAACTCACAATAATATTACTTTCACACTATTTTCTCACAAACTCAGAAATAGCTTGTGGATTACTCTCTATTGCTTTTTCTATTTTGGTGTATCTTCAAATGTTTAACTACTACTCTATTTATAGAGTTTTGAACCACTTGATTACATCATGAGTAACACAAATGTGGCAGCCAATTTTCACAAAGTTTGGTTGTCAAACTCCACCAAAACTCTTCCAAAATTTGACTACCAACTTTCACAAATGTGGCTGCCAACTTTCACATTTGTGGTTATTCTTTCCACAAGTTTGGTTGTCAAAGTTTCTCCCAAGCTTTGTTCCCACACTCCATCAAGGTTTGCTAAGATGACGTGTTCGCCTCTGAAAATTAGAGGTATCGCGTAGCTGGGTCGGTCCTGATATCACCAAAATCCTTTAACCTAACAGAGCCCAAAGAGTCTGTATAGGTAGATAACCTACCAACATGGCATAGTCAACTGGACCGACGATCTTGAGTTCCATTGTAAAGACATGGTGCAGACCAAATGCACATTAGCAAGCTTCACTAAAATACACCGAGAGAGAGAACTTGATTTCCCAAACGCCAAAACCAATATCAGAAACTGAAATATACATTGCAAAGCTTATAAAAGAAATATCTCATGTTCTATTAGGCTACTCAAAATTAAGAAACTTGTATTTTAGAATAGCTATCATAGTTCATATGTTAAACTGTTTGACTCTCAAAAAACTACATGTGCACATAAATATTGTGACAGAGATAGTAATTGCTTAATATTTAACTTTTCTTCTTTCCTCTCCTTGTTTGTAAAGGAAAAACAAATAAAAATAATCAACCAATTAAAGTTAAGACAAGATTATGTACTTACTCAGTAATTTGTTTTTGAAATTCAGGATATCTTGTCAAAAGAAACTCAGCTAGCTTTTCCCCTGTTATTTCAGCAGCTGAGCAAATATACCTCCCTTTTGCATTAGGATTTTCAAAAAGGAAAATGTGAGCATTTGTCACATCATCTACATGTACAAAAGGTACAATTGGAGGGTAACCCATACTAAAATTTTGATGACCTGCACAATTTTTTCCAATTACAATTAAGTAGAACATATATACGTTGAGAAAATGAAAATCTATGATATTTTAAGACGTACCAAGAATCATTTCCATGGATGAACGAACAGAGCCAGGAATTTGAGGAGTAATAAAGGTACCATGTATCCAAGTTGGGATTACAGTCACAAGATCGATACCATTTTTTTCAGCAAATTCTAAAGCTGCTTTCTCTGTTAATGTCTTACTAATTATGTAAGAACTTGCAAAAGGCTTCAATGTTCTCATAACATCTACATCTGTCCACGAGCATTCATCGATTATGACGTTGGAACTTCCACTATCCATAACTGTAGATGCACTAGAAGTGTATACAACGCGTTTGACTGTTTTTGAATCGAGACATGCCTGTAAAATACCTATTGCTCCATTAATTGTTCTTTGTGTTATTGTTTCTTCAGGTTCTTTGTTTTCAAAATCAATTGGATGTGCAACATGAAATACACCAATGCAGCCTTCAATTGCTGCATTGAAACTTTGTGGTTTGTGTAGATCAGCATTAAAAATATTCAACCTTTCTTGTGCACCTGGGAGATTTGTGAGATAGCTTACATCCTTCTTGTGATCTACAATCAAAGAAAGTTAGGTTAAAAATAATATAATTTTAATCGGACAACAAAGACATAAATTAATCGTACTTTGTTTCAATTTATGTGAAGGTATTGTTGGAAAAATAATGGGATAAGACACAAGCTGCCCGCTAAACTATGACCGAAATTTTAGAGACACACCTTAACTAAACTAAGGTCTTATTACCCCCGAACTCATTTTTTTGTAATTTTGTACACCTTTTTGACTTACGTAGTATACAAACATCTTCTACGTGTCTCAACTACGTGGAGTCTCGGAGTGTGCCATGTAAGACAAAAGGTGTACAAAATTACAAAAATAAATGAGTTCGAAGGTAATAAGATCTTAGTTTAGTTAATGTATGTCTCTAGAATTTTCGTTATAGTCTAGGAGATACTCATATCTTATCCCATAATTTTGATATCTCAATTCTTTTTTTGTCTAGATTTATTATATTGATGAGTCTTTGGTTTACAGACCTTGATTGATCATTATTCTTATACAATTCCTAACATAACCTTTTGGATTTGTAACAGACATTTTGACTCTTTATAGTTAATGTGTATAGTATTGTTGGAGGCTTAGAGCCATTAATCGGCTGACAATTGCATATTGTCACAATTTGTTATATTAATGAGTCTTTTATTTTTATATGGGTTAATGCGTAATTACTTCCTATATGACCGAAACTTTCGCGACATCCTAACTTAATCAGAGCCTTGTAACGACCTGCTTCCGTCGTTATAGAAATGCCAACGGAGGAAAATTTGGAGCCGGAAAACTTTTCGTAGTATTTGGGATTTTCCCAACCTAGTCCAGATTTGGACGAAATCATAGTCATTAAGGTGTAGGAAAATCTGGTAGCAATTGGGTGAATTATTTATGATTTTGATTACATGAGTAGTTAGATAACTCGTTAAAGAACCCGTACGACTTTACAGAATTGAATTCTGGCGAGTAGAACTCCCGAAATCGATCTTAGCGTGAACGATATTTTCTGAGCGTCGTGGGTTAGAGGTGTGTTGTGAAATGAGGATTTTGGAATTTTTAAAATAGCTCACTGTTTCGTGAAAGCCGCTCTGGCAGTGCTTTTTGTCGCTCTAGCATGGCCGCTGTGGCGGGTTCGACGCGACTTAAGGTCGTAAATAAACCCCTAAACGACCTCATTCTGCACTTTTTGATTTTTAGAGCTAAGGAACGAACCCCAGGCGACTCTAAACAGTTTTCCACCATTCTTGAGGCTAAAGGTAAGCTTTTCACTCCCCGAATCCGTTTTCGATCCGTAGAACATAATAGAATGAGTAAATATCGATGGGGAGGGTTTTGATCTAGATTTTATGGTGGGAACAACCCTAATTTGAATAATTAGGACCATGGGTTTGATCTAGCTAGGGTTCATAGGATTGTTAGTAATTCGGGTAATTAGTGATTGTTTATTGATTCCCGTATTATATTGATTGTTTGTAGACCAAGACAAGCAAAACGAATCCGGAAAGGGAAGGATCAAGTTTCTTAGGGTTTCAAGCTTGTTTCGAGGTAGGTGATGGTTGTGATTCTATGATTGTGCGATGTACGTTTGTTCTTGCTTCGTTATGATACTTGCATGTATGCGAATGTTGCATGATTGATCACACTTGTTGTAAATGAGATAGATGAATGATGAATACCATGAATCATGACTTGTTGTGTGAACTTGAGAAAATACTTGTGATTGTGATTGTGGATCGGTTGCCACATTTCGGCATAATTATGGGATCGAATACCACATACCGGTATGCTAACTATTTGGGTTTGGGTTCCATGAGAGGGCCAATGATTTGATATAATTGTGTATCTTGAGAAATGTGAAGTTGTTCGTTGTTCGTAAATGTTGATAATATTGTATATGTTCGATATATGCATGTGATTATAATGTTGTCTTGACTTGCTTATGTTGCACTTAGTGGGGTAGCCGCGTGATCCTACCAGTACATTGTGGTTGTGTATTGATACTGCACTTGCTTAGTTATTAGTACATTAGTTTGGGGGTTGCATCCCTTATTGTTTAGACTTGTTGAACTTTAGATGTTTTGGTACATTGACTTTCAGGTTCTAGGTTATTTCTTCTGCATTGTTTAGTTCATTGTTAGACTTTTGTTGGAGTTTATGGGAACTCCCTATTTCTTTCCTTAGTATTTAACTTGCTTTTGTAACTTAAATGCCTTAGTTTTAGATTAGTTGCTTGGTTTGGATTGTAGTAATGGTTCTCCCACCGGAGAGTTAGTGTGGTGCCAATCACGACGGTCTGGGTCGTGACAGGCCTATAACTTTTTGAGCTCATTTTTTCTATATTTTCGTGCACTTTTAGTATTGACGTGGCACCTTCAACCATGTAAGTTGGTTGTATTTGTACAACACGCTCCTGTCACATGTGTAATTTTAAAAAAAAAATATAATCTTCTTATTTTCTTTATCTTGTATTTAAATTAAATCAATACACAATATTTTTTTTTTTAAAATCCTTGTATTTAAACTTTTTTCCTTCTATTTTTTTTACCTTCATTAATTTTTTTTTCTCTTTTTTTCTATTGGTTTTATTTATTCTTTTTTTCTTACTTAATTTCAAATATCGTGTATTTAAAATAAGTTATTTCGAACAAATAACAAAATAAGTGAAGAAAATAAAATAAAACATAAAAAGTTAAAACGTTAAAAATTAAAGGACACTTTTTAATACACATAATCTTTTTAAAATAATTAAAAGTGATATGATAAGAAATTAATGAAAGATAAAAAAATTAAGAAGTTTAAAATGAGAAAGAAATTAAAATAGTCTTTTACAAAGAAAGAAATAAATATAATCAAATATTATAAATTTTGATGTCAATAACTATATGTACTAACTAAATGCAAATAGACCAATTAAAAAAAAGATATGTGTCCAATTTTTGTGTTCTGCAGTTACCTTTAAGAGAGTGTGCACACACTCTGTCATGTTTAAGTTTAGATATATGCTAAAATTTTGATAATAATTTAAGGGTACTTATGCATTATCTCTTTATATATTGTCAAGTTCTTTCATTAGATGGTGGAGACATACCAACGAAAAACATTTCTCCTAATATTTTATTGCGTTGGTTTTCTTATCATTTATTTTTTGTTGCTTTGCTCTGACTTTATATTAGATAAGCTTGTTGATTTATAAAGATAAACTTCTATTAATAAAATATTATTTAAGACAGTGTTATACACCTTTCAACCTTTCAAAAAAAATTCTACTATTTTCCTAATCCTACAATAATTTACCTATTTAAAAATTACACTCAAAGTATACTGCAAGTAAAAAATACTAATGATTTCAAAATATTTTTAAGAAATTACAATTAATCATAATGAAACCAAATGATCACACAAATGAGAATCACACAAATGAGAAAATCCTTGAGGCCATCGCCCCAACCAAAACAAAAAAAAGGGAAGAAAAGAATGAATATTGGTGTAATAAATACAATCCTGAAAAAAAATAACAAGGAAATGAGTATAATTAATAATAAGGTAAATTAAGAATTAAGTGTAAAATTATCAATTAATTTTATAAAATGGACAAATATTATTGGACATCCTTAAAGTCTATAATGAACAACTATTGATAAATGGATAGAGTATTTATCTTTCACCCCGCTCCAACTTACCTCACACCCCACCCCACCTTTCCCTTTCACGGCACTGCCTCTTTTGAAATCCCCATTTGTTCTTCTATCAAATTTTCATGTTTTTATAAAGTTTTCCAAAATTATTGTGATGGTTTTTATTTTTTATTTTGTTCATTTCATATTTTTAAAGATTTTTCATCAAAAAAAATAATCATGTTTTGTAAGATTTTTCATCAAAAAAATTTCATAATGGAAGGTGGAGTAGGTGATAAAGATAAAAATGATAGGAAGAAGGGGAAGAGGGGGGAAATAAAATTATACAAAAAATATTCCTCGCGCACTAAAAATGAGTGCAATATACTCAATATGTCAAGTAAGCAAAAGTGTCAAAATAACACATTAGAACTTTATTCAAAGTGTTTAAAATAATCAAAACCTACCTAAGGTGTATCCAGATAAAAGTTAATATCAACTTTAAGAACTTGCTAATAACTTCCGCCTTGACGTCATGCCATCACAAAATAGAAATGGCAGAACGTCTAGAAGTTATCCATTAAAGAATTTAAAATTTGCATACATAGAAAACAAGTAAAGAAATGCAAACTTAAGCGCCAATAATTAAAAGGATCAAAATCATCATGTCAATCGACGTGATAAGCCTACGAAAAATTTCAAGTAGGATTATAGGAGCAACAAATTACCTGGATGAGATCTAATAGTTGTATTAACATAATAACCAAGTTGAAGAAGTCTCATAACCATCCATGATCCAAGATAACCACTTCCTCCCGTTACACATACCTTTCCTTTCTCCTTCATCACTTCTTCCATATCCCCTCTATTCATCTCTTCTTTCTTTTCCCCTCTCTCTCTCTCTCTATGTAGTGGTTATAGGTTGTATCAAAGTGGTTAGAAAACAAGGACAAGTTATTGTCATTTACCTATTGGCCATTACCTTCACCTTTTAAAATTGGCCACACACCCCACTAGCATGATTGAAATATGTCAAAGGCATTAGATGTAAATATGTCTTTTATATTTTTAATAAAATTGTGCAAGTAAACACACATATTTTATGTGACATAATATATGTAGGATGTCGTGGAGGACATAAATTGCCACGTTAATAGGGTCGGACCCACCCTTGGGTAAGGGGTGTCAAGCGACACCCCTTCGTTGGAAAATTACATTATAAATAGAGGTCAAATTTTGGTTTAATAAATATTTATACAAGTATATATTGACACCTGTTGACATAAATTAAAAGTTTAGTATAGTAGTTAAGTTGTTGTGAAAATTTCTTGAGGTCGTGTGTTCTAACCCTATAGCCTCATAGTTATATTTTTTACTACAACCATTGACACCTCTTAATGATAATCATGGATCCACTACTAGCCACATAACACGCCAAATAGGACATGTGTATATCTACTTGTTCACCTTTATATAAATTTAAATATCTATCACAGCTGGAAAAGCAAAATGGAAATTTTCATTTCTTTAAATAATTGCTAAATATAAAAAGAAACTTTTTTTTAAAAATAAATTAAAAAAGTATAAATAAAATTAATTTAAAAGCCCCAGCAATGATTGATGGAACCTTAGGTATTTCAAAATGCATTAACATAATATTATACGTTTGGGACTATGTTTAAATAATTTTTTGAAATGTCTACTTTATTGTAGATTTCATCGATCAATAAAGTATTAAAATGCGTTTGGGGACATGTTCTCAATATATGGCTGTCTAAGACCCACAATTTATAGGAGTTGGGGACCGTATTTAGTTACAAATAATTGTATTTAAATGTTATTGACCTTGCATTTTAATACTTTATTGATGTTCCTTGCCTGAATCATAATGTTTTGAGCTTAAGGGGGTATTTTTATATGCAGTAGGTATTTTGGAGTGAAATGAAGCAAAAAGCATGTGATCTAGGATTAAATTGACAAAAAAAAAACTGCTTGCAAATGGGATGCTTTATTAATTAATAAGGTTCGTTCGAAGAAATACAAATAAGAACTGATGTATGATAAACAATTTCACAAGCATTTTTATTGAGAGTAGTAGTAAAAAATAGAGGGAGATGCTTCAAAAACATAAGATTTGTTAAATTTCAAGATCATGTCTTCGAAACTTTCGTCTATAGTCTCCCAGTATATTCGCAACCATATTAACTTTCCTAGGAATATGGTGCAGATTCGGCTATCCCACTGCTAGGATTATAGACACGGACTTATTAAATATAGGAGCATTTGTGATTTCCACCCCTAATGTATGTGTTCTTTTATGATTTACACCTAATCCTATCATTTTTAATGATTTGCACCATAATTCCGTTAGTTCTTAGCAAAAATCATAAAAAGTCTCCTATATCAATTATTTACAAAGGATAAAATAGAAAAATCATTACGTTATTATGTTTGTTAGAATTTAAAAATATATTAATAATAATATAATTAAATTGATTTCTACCAATAAAATAATTGGATCCGTGTGCAAGACAGTGTGTGTTTGTTGGCTATTCAGAATTTCAAAAAGGATACCAATGTTACAACCCACAAAATAAGAAACAATATGTTACTCTTAATACATCTTTCCGTGAGTCAGAACCATATTATAAAGGTGGAGTGACACCCTCATCTCTTAGGGGGAGAATGACATAGAAGAGACTAGGATGACTAGAGCTTTAATATAGGGGGAGTAACTGAGTTCTTGGAATTAGAAGCTTACGAGGAAAGATTAAATGCACATAGGAATATCTCGGAACAAGACATTGCCACACATGAAGACAATGAAGGAATCGGGGAAGAAGGAAATAAAAGTAAGGGAGTCGCAAATGAAGACAATGAAGGAATTATTTTAGAAAGTACAACAATCACTCTATTAACCAATGAGTCCTCTTAGAATGTTCTACTTGATCATATACCTCAGGAAACTCTTAATTACTCTTCAAATGAACTTGAAACTATATCTAATGATTCTCATCCTCCTACTTCCCGTTATCCAATCAAAAAAACTAAAGGTATACTGAGAATACAATATGAATCTTATCTTAATTCCAATTCAAAATATCATATTAGCAGTTATACCTCTATCAAAATATTATCAACCTCATATGCTCTAACTGTTAATCAATTATCCAAAGTGTCTATTCCTAGTGGTGTGAAGGAATTATTAGCAGAATCACAATGGAGGAAAGCGATGAATGGAGAAATGGAGGCCTCGCAGAGAAATTGAACTTGGAAATTGGTTCTCTTAACCGAAAGAAAGAGGATTGTCAGGTGTAAATGGGTGTGTATTGTAAAGCTTAAAGCTGATGGAAGTATTGATAGGTATAAGGCGAGGCTGGTAGCAAAAGGATACAAACAAAAATATGGAGTGGACTATCAGGAAACATTTGCACTAGTGGCTAAACTTAATATTATTCATATCCTTATATTAGCTGCGGCAAATAGAAATTGGTCATTGTGACAATTTAATGTAAAAAATGCATTCTTAAATGGTAACTTGGAGGAAGAGGTTCACATGGATCTCCCACCAGGAATAATGCAGGAGCACACTTACAGAAATAAGGTATGCAGATTAAAGAAGTGTCACGCCGAGCCCATACCCCGGGCGTGACCGACACTCGAGAACAATTGCTGGCACCATGCGAACCCTTGGCCTGGCTAGACTCTCAGTGGAAGGCTTTAAGCATTAATGAAATAAATCAAATGAACCTTTACTCATCTGTCTCAAAATAACTTAGAATCTTTTAGAAACGAACATTCAACTAGCCAAAGTGGCAACCCAAGTCTTAGCATAAACAACTGAAAATGGAAATACTAATGAACTACAACTACTCGTCTATGAAGCCTCTAAAACTATGAGGGATGTCACGACAAGACCCCCGATCATCCTAACAACTGAAATATTAAAACAATATAAAAGGGATCCTCCGGAAAGCAAAAAGGCTCACCAACTGACTCTGAATGCTCAAATGGATCAATGAAGCGCTGGATGCTAATCCTAATTACCTGTATCTGCATCATAAAATGATGCAGGACAAATGGAGTCAGTACATTGAATGTACGAGCATGCGAGGGGAAAGCTAAACAAGACATAAGCTTGAACTGAAAATCTGAAAGGAACACTTACCTCAACTTTACTCGACTCATGGATACTCAACTCAATGCAGAATTAAACAAAAAATAAAGATGCAGTTTATATAAAGTATTTAGACAGTAGATAATATCTCAAAGTATTGGAAAATACCATAATATCTCAATTTTATAAAAGAATACAAAGATAAACTCTGTTTGGGAGATTCTCTAACCGACAACCATCACTATGAGCTATGTGATGATACATCGTCTCGCCCACACTACCATAACTGTCCTATAACTTGTCGGGATATTGAACTCCTCAACTAAGTAGATCCACTAAGCTATGCTAAAAAGCATTAATGAATCATCTAGAAAGTATGATCCTTTCTACCCACATTGGCTACATGATTTATGGAGACTTGAATTATTATGAACTCGTCCCCATATCGGTACTCAATACTACTCCCAAAATATACTCAGCTCATACGTTTAAAAACATAACTCTTTCTTTGTGGTTTGAGATTATTACTCAAAAACTAGCTCCAAAAGCTCTCTTGAAAATCAGTGTTCCCTCTCTTGTTTAAGATGTGAAAACATTTACTCTTTGGGAATACTTAGTTCCCATATAATCTTTTAAAGAAAATGAACTTCGGCCTTACTCTTACTCAACTCAATGCTCAAGTCTTAAAAGAAGTTTAAAAACATTTGTAAAAAGACTTTTGAAATGACTGTAAGAACTCTCTAGACTTGACTCTTAACTTTCCTTGAATTTGAATTTATGGATTCAAGGTTATGATTCATATTTACGGATGATTTGTAGATGTTTAGAAGTCATTTAGAGTAGTTAGAATAGATAGGAAGTGTTAGTACGCTTTAGAAGGATTCAGACGGGCTAAACGACGGAAAACGGGTGGGGGTAGGCGACCTTGGCGCACTGCTAGCGTGGGGCGCCAACCACTAAAGTTCAGAGGCTGTGATTTGGTGCACTGCTGGCGCGCCGCCCCAACCCCTCTGGCGCATCTGGTAGGGGTGTGCCATAACCGAACCGACCGATAAAATGAACCGATAAAAGTGTTATTGGTTTATTGTTATTAAGTTATTGGGTTAACGGTTATTTAATGGTTTTACAAAAAAATTTTATTGGGTTATCGGTTCCTTATTGGTTTTTAATATTGGGTTATTGGGTTGATCGATAACCCATTAAGAATATAATTATTTACTATTTTAATTTTTAGTTATACATATATATAATATATTAAACAAAAACTATTAATATAATTAATAACATATTAGACTAAAAATATAAAAACCCTACGCAATAATTAACACTACTTAACAATTAACTCTCCTCTCTACTTTTAGTTATTTAACCTTTAGGTTCTACGGAGTATTACTTATTTACTTTAGTTAGTTTATAATTGACTAATATTAGCTTTTGCATGATTGTAAATATGTGCAATTTGATTAACAAAATTCATATTGTGTGTTTTTTAAAATAAAAAATAAAGTAAGAACTTCATTTAGTTGGGTCTTTTCTTTATATATGATTTAACATAAGCATGGCCTCATTTGCTACTGTTTTGACTTTTGTCTATGATTTGATTTTATTTGATTCTCTTTATTGCATAAAGACCTTGTTTTTTGTATTATGGTGATCGAAAATTGACCAAGACTTTGTTATGATGACCAAAATATAGCATGTTGGTCCCTGTTGTCCCATTTGTGATGATTATTTCGATGTATGCGTATCACGTCAAATTATTGGATAAGTCATATATTTGTTTTGAAAGCATTTTCTTATTGGTTAAACCGAAAACCGATCTAAAACCAATAAACCAAAA